TCTAAGAAGTGTGAATACAATTTTATATACACAATAAATTCATTTCAAAGTTCAAGGACATTTGTTAAAATGCTTTCTTTTACCAAACAGCTTTAGAGATATTTGAGAAAAAGCAGGTGAAGAATCACAAATAGAAGAGAATTTAATAAGATGCTATAAGGCATCAGAAAGAACATATACTGTAATGTTATTCAATGATAAAAGTACATCCTGTCCCATGAATACAACTGGTGATAATTGTGAGCAGTTAGTATTTATACCAATAGCTTACCTCTTATGCACAAAGCAAAGCAGTCCCAACACATGCTGTGTTGTTTGCATTGTGCCTTTTATGGGGACCTTTATTTATTTTTTATTTATCTCCCTTTTTATTTATCGCCCTTTTATGGAAACCCTTTTCTTTATCACTCTCTTATGGAGACCTCTTAGAGAAGTGCAGAATCCATCATTCAGTAAGGTGGACCTGGGAGCAGATTAGTAGAATATCCCTATTTTTTCTTCAAAATAGAAATATTCTGGTTTTATGAGAAGGGAAAGAGAGGTACAACAGCTCCCTGAATTCAATTCATGTGTATTCTTTCAATATATGGAAATCAAATGTCTTTCCAGAGATCCAAGAGCCTCAGAAGTAAGTGTGCTTGTCCCTGATTTTTGGAGAGTTGTTTCACTGACAATTACAGATTTCACAGAATATTCTGAGTTGAAAGGGCCCCACAAGGATCTTTGAGTCCAACTCTTAGGTGAATGACCTGTACATGGATTGAAATCAAAACCTTTGCATTATCAGAACCGTGTTCTGACCAACTTCACAAAACTTAGTGGCCTGCATCTTTTGACTTTCCATCTGTCACCAAAGGGAAGTTAAACTTTTTCAAAATTTTGACTATTTTTTGCAAGGTTGGGTTGGGCTTTGAGCAACCTGGACTAGTGCAAGGTTTCTCTGTCCATGGCAGAGGGGTTGAAAGTAGATAGATCTTCAAGGTCCCTTCCAGCACAAGGGATGTGATTCCCTGATTCTATGCTCTTTGTCCCACTAATATACCTATTTGTGACAGTTCTGTCCTCCTTGAGCTGCTCCAAGGGGCTGTTAGTGTCCCTGTGCTTGGTTCTGTTCCCTAGACTGGCTTCTGTTGCACTGTGTACAAAGATAATGTGGTTACAATATCACATAGTGCCATGAGCAGTGGAACTAATTAAAGCTTCACTTCTGAAAATTTTTGTATTGACTAACGTGTCTTGGAAGACACAGTCTGCTTGAAGCTTTCTAAGTAACTGAGGTTTTGTTAATGACTCTCTTCAGTCAAGAGGCTTCAGTATCTAATAATCTGTGACATCAGTTTTCCACTGGTATTGAACACTTATATAGTCCATTACAGCTGTCAATATCCACAAAATTCGTGGAAACTTACTTTTGAGTCCTGCTTCCTTGGAAAGATACTGGTTCAGAAGTTATGGGTAATCAGGGAAATGTGCAGACACAGAATGTAATTTCATGGATTTATTACTAAAACCCCCTGAAAATATATCTTTAAAAAATCAGGTTATTCTTTCCATAACTGTTGAATGACTGATTTCCCAACATAGGATTTTTTTTTTCCTTGAATATCTGGAACAGACTTAGGAGATCATTAATGGTACCATAAACTATTTATTGGCCAAGGTTTTCGAATATGGCTAAGCAAATCAATGTAAAATATGTTTAAATGACTGCTCATGGAGAAGCAGATTATCCTGACTATCTGAAGAAACCCACTAACTATCAGATTATCCTGAAGCAATTCACCAAAATGTCCAGGTTGCCTCTGACACTGAACTAACTCAGACACTTCCACTTGATGTGCAGTACTGCTCCGTGCTGTTTACAGGTACACAAATTTACACCTTGACAAGAAATGTCAGAGGGACATAGCACCAGATTCTGATCCTTGCATGCCTCTGAGGAAGGTGTCCATGAGTGAGACAGCATACGGAGTCCTACTTAGAAGAATCAACATCATGTGCATGCCAATGTAGATATTTACAGTTGATCTAAATTCCTAATTAGGTGTATGAATATGGATGAAATTGGCACTCCAAATATAGATGTAGGTTACTATCTTTTAGCAGAAATACTTGAAAATACTTGGTTCCCTACCTTAAATACAGTCTTCTGTAACAGACACTTTGCAAAGAATTTTGTCAGTGATTATGAGCAGAGCTGCAGAAGAGGCTTCCAATTGGTTTCTTTTTATTTCTGTGTTAGGCAAAGTCCTATTTTGATTAATCACTCTTGCTACAAAAATGTGCTATTTTTTTCATAGCAGTTTTCGAGAAAGCTGTCTTGAAATTTCTTGGAAGACATGCTCCAGCTTGTTGTGCCCATCTGTGTTACATCACGCAACAACACACTCACACATGATTAATGAAAAGCATACCATCCTACACAAGGTAATTTAATTCACTTAAAAATTCCTATCCCTTCCATAAGAAAAAAAGGTCTCCTAGTGCTACTTTAAAAAATGAAGCAGATTAGCTTCTGTACTAACACTTGGGAGCAAAGGACAAGAAAGAAGTTTCAAGAGATAACAGGACAAAACCACAAGAGGCCAACATATTTCTATCAGAGTAAAACATAAATATTAGGGGGAAGAAAAAACCAAAACGTGAAGAAATACTTCTTCTAAGAAGCAATTCCATTCTCCAGCATGAACTATACTATAAACCTCCAGCCAACAATAAATATAATTTTTTGGATACAGTTTTAATTAAGTACCATCCAAGATTAGTTCACCCAAGGAACGAAAAATTATTAATATAAATGTTCAGGCCAACAATCTTTAAACCTACCAAGCTTAAGCATGTCATTTTCTACATGAGTAGAAAAAAAATCTTTTAAAATGGAAAATTTGTAATTGGTCAATATAAACAATTCAAAGCACAAGCAAAAAATTTACAAGTATGTACATAATACGTGATGGCAAGCATGAAGTAAAGGGAATGTGGAATATATACCTGCTTTGTCTAAAGGCAGCATCCTATTATAATCAAAATAAAATCCAAAAGGAATCTGTGATTATAAAAATCTTATAGTCTGCCTCATTTTAAAACATTTTAAACTAAACTTTTAGTTTTATCTAAATGGTGCTGGTTAAAGTCAGCTGTGTTAGGTATGGCTTTGTTTGATTGCTTTGGATTTTTTTCCCCAACTGATATTAAGTAAAACTAGAAAATAAAATGTTATTTGTCTAATATGCTCTACACGAGATTGTATTTCAGCACATTTTAACTTGAAGACTGTTTTACTAACATTGGTTCTGTCATAAATATATAGTGAAATTCCATGGCTGTAATCAGTACCATAATCTCTAGTAAAGAAGTAATTCTTCTTGGTCAGAAGAAAAAAAAATGCAGCAAATTTTAATAGATGTCCAAAAGCGGGCTCTGGCTAAAGTCTAGCTGAAGTTGTTCCACGCATCCAGAGTTTTAGTCAAAAGGAGGTAAGCTGAAATAAAAACAGCAGGACTTTTTTATCCTATGCACGTCTAGAGGATTTCCTTTTAGGAATTAATTTGGATATCTGGAGTAATGAACAGGAGAAATATCTTCTGAAAAGTATGTTTGCTTTAATGAAATATGAGCTATTTCCAAATATGTAAAAGAAATGTGTTATTAATAACTAATTTTATTTATATTTTATTCATCAGTCTTTTGTTTCTCATCTTGATCTTCTGTTTTTTCTGCCCATGTTTCTCTTATTCTGTTCCTTCTGCAAAATGTGTAATGTTCTATCAATGCTATTTAGAGAGCTGGCATATGGTTTTCTGAAGTCACCACAATTTTATTTTTTCATTGAAAATAAAAAATCCAAAACTAAAAATAAACCATAGAATTAATCTCCAAATCTGAACAAAACCCTGAATGGTTACCACCTTTAGTTACTTTAGTTTGAATATTTTAATGACTCCTAGGGGTTTCCCTCATGAAGTACAGAGTTAATAAACTCATAATTGTATACTGACTGCAGCTACATGACACCAAATGAGAGACAGTCACATTCACTCACAGAAGCAAAAAGCAGTAATACTGTTTCAACTTTATGTTTTTGGTCAGGTATAGAATTTCTCTCAGCATGAACAGGCAGGTTGTAAATGAAAAACTTTTCATTCTCAGCTGACATTTGTGTCTTTCAGTAAAGCAGGTAATAATAAGACAAAATATTTCATGCTTTAGCAAAAACTGCCTTTTCAATACATTTGGACTAGGTAGTAATGAGCTATATTGTTCACGGTTTAATCTGTTCTTAAAAAAACTGGGAAGTCATTCTTCTGCCCTGCTCTCAGGTATTAAGTCCGTACATCTTTTATGTTGACAGTTCAGCTTCAGGCTATAAAAAAGAAGAACCTATTCTACATCTACTATTTAAAACAAGAGCAGAAAAACTAAACCTCCATCAATCTGCTGTCTTTGTCTTATGGCTTATCTGTGGCAAAAAATGAATCATAAGAAAGATTTGTTCTGATTCTACAGACAGATCCATCAACCTACCAGTACCCATGAACCATGCATTCCTGAAGAGATTGGTGCTAATGGTGTAGCTGGGATTTTAAACCTAATATAATGTCAAACTACTGCTATTCACTTGCTATCTGTAATAAGAATGTATTTAGAGAAATAGCACACCCAAAGTAATATGGGTTCACAATGTCTTTTTTACACACTTTTACTTCTTGCAAATAACATGCTTTCTTTTAGACCTCTATCAGGACCAAACTGAAGACAGTGATATAATTTTGAACAGATTTTTTTATGTCTAAATCTCCTAAATGCAAAATTAATACAAATATGCAGTTTCTTCACCAAATTACTTGTAAGGTCTTCAAATAATAACTGTCTATCAAGCTATGATATGAGATTTTTTAAGCTGCAACTTTTCAAAAAACAAACCCTACCGATTTTTAAAATCTCACATGTAAATTTTAGATCACAAGAGAAGACGGCTAACAGATGAAGTATTTGCTCACCTGAAAGAAGCAGATCAACAGACTGAAGTCTACTTGTGATGGTATGTAGGGTGAGGATAGCAAAGGAAAGCAAAGTCGGGAATGCTTGAAAAATAAAATATTTTTAGTTAACAAGAAGAAAATTAAACTTTGGAGAAAGGATTCATTTCACACCTGAATCCCTCTTCCAAAATGGTCTCTGATTTAATCTTAATCCTGTGAATAGCCATGTCTGAAAAAGTGTAGTAGCAGTTGCAATAAAGTACACGATTCTTTCAGTCAAGGGCCACTGCAGAGCATATTCAGGAATATTTCTCACTCTCACAGGTAACTCTAACTCTCACAGGTAATAATCAGGGTAAAATGGAGCATACAGTGTGGCAGTGATGCAAATGATTTAGTGTAGTGCCTAAATGTAGTTTCAGCCCCCTTTTTTTAGATAGTTCTATCCAGAAATTTCTTAATGCAATCAGACCCAGTACCAGAAAATATCAACTAAGGGGAGAAAAAAAATTGAGACATTCTTAAAAAATTATAGTTCTGTTGGCTTTAAGACATGACACAAGTGTGAGAAAGATAAAAAACATACAAGTACAGTTTGATGGCATTTATTCTGTAAAGATTTTGAAAAATATATTTTGTATGGATTATCTGGATACTTGCAAAGGATGAAAAATACACCTAATTACATAAGCTATCAACAACTTCCCATGAAAAGAGCTTATAGGGTTTCTGACCTGATATGATATTCATTTAATCTAATTTATGAAACTGCTTGAGGAAACATTCAGCTGCTTTCTTGAAAGACTGACTTGGGGATTATTGGAGCTGTATAATTGTTCAACTGATCAGACTTAAAAAGAAACATTTTGTTTTACATTAATCTTGCAGAAATGGGCAATGAATTTTAGAAATAGATTGCTGTCTAAAAGTCTTGCCAAAAAATGTCTAGCTGTGAGCAACCACAACAATTTTTTTCTAACAGTCTCATTTTCGTATTTTCAATCTTTATTCAACATCTGTTTTCTCCCCTCCTCTATAACATAATTATGCAGAAATCCAGCATAAAACAGGTTGAGCAGTTAATAACAGGCAGCTTAAACTTTTTTTTCCCATTGATGCACTGCAGATGTTTCCTTCTTCTTCTTTTTTTGCTTGGGCTTCTCATCTAATTTGTACACATTTCTATCCTGTTCTTGAATATGCTTTCATAACATATGGAAGCACCTGAAAGTAAGTCTGGAAAATGCACATGTTTATAAGGCTTTTCTTGGATATGCAGCACATTTAGCAGGAAAGCAGAGTTTGTCCAGATAACATTGAAGGAATTTGACTGAGATCAGCAGTTTGACACAACAAGAAAGACTTCCAGAACTTTTAAAGGTTTTCTGTACAAAGGTTTGTAGTCTTTCTGTACATATCTATGTATATGTATTATTTTTCCAAGATAAATTCACTTTGCTTTTTATTTGACATAAACTTATCTCAAAAGTAGCCGTAGCTCCATGATAATTATTCCTCATTTTACAAACACTTCAGTAATTAGAACTTGATATCTAGCTTAAAAGAGATAGCAAAATCTTATACTGTCAGATATTCAAAAGTTCCACTAAAATATAAGGTTTCCTCCATACAGAGGAACAGGGAAAAGATGTTTTACCCTTAATTTCCAAAGGATATTCTTATTAGGATAAAAAAAAAAAAAATTCTAATTCATCTGCAATAAAAAAAAAATGTTTAAACCTGTTGAGGTTAACTTTGGAAAAAGTACTAAAATTCTAGAAAATCTTCAGTTCACACAAAGAAAAACAAGAAGATGCAAATTACAAAAGACAATACTATGCAGAATTAGAATGGATTTCATTTTATGTGGTACATGTAAACAAAATACAGTGACTGTAATTGAATGTACAACCTATTGTAATTAGAGGACTCTATATTCAGGTTCACATAAACTTCATAATTGGAATTATTACTTCAATGTTGAATGAGTTTATACAAGATGAATCCTAGCAAGCCTGGTAAAGGAAAAAGTTTTCCCTATGGGTTTAATAATGTGTAACTGCTCCTGTTTGAAAACTGAGGACTGGACAACTTGGGGTTTTTATTCATACTGTCACTGATTTAGTTCTATATTCTCAGTATGACAGAAAAAATATTTTCCATATATTCGGGATGCTTGTGCAAAAATGTTGATTTTAACATTTTTCAGCCTGTCTGCTGCATGAATTTTTTACGTTTATTTGCACTCCATATTTAATGTACTATATACAATATGGATGAGATACTACCCTTTGTTACTGACACACCACATAATCTGGTGGTTGCTGCTCAAGGAAAAATATCATTTGCTTTTATTTTTCTCACAAGACACAATGAATAGTTAAAAATTAGCACAGAAAACACATGTAAATTCCTAGTTTATCTATGAAACATTTATTCTTTAAGAGGGTCACAAACCTGCAGCTTCTAAACTGTTGTTTTAAAGTAAAAGAGAAATTCTGCCATTGATTAACAGCATACCTAGTAAAGTAAGTTTGATAAAGATGAATAAAAGGGTGTTTCTTAACTAAATGTGAGTTTTAAAGAAATCTGAAACATTAGTATCTTTTTGAGGGGCAAAATTACATTTAGGAATGTTACAGATTATGAAATTATTTAATTTTCCTTTGATTCTCTGAATGATGGCTAGTCTGTCTCCAAGGCAGAAATTTAACAATCATTTTCAACTTAAAAATAAACCCCAAAGAATAAAAGATCAAACCCAGGAAAAAAAAATACCCAACCAAAACCAAACTCCAATTTCAAATGTCCCTTTTTCAAAAGGTAGGAAAAAACATTTGATATTTTTTAACAGCTATCCAATGCTTGAAGCTACTTTAATAATAAAAGATTACATGGACAGCTTTTGTAATGTGCCCAGTCAAGTTAGCCATAAATATGTGCATACAAAACAGAAAAATTCTTTTGTAATGCAAAATATTACTTTGTGAAAAAATATTATTTTCATGAAGGAGTTCTTCAGTATACTTGAAAGGCCTATCTTGATAGTTGCACTTTTAAATTATCGAAGTTGCAGAAAACTCTTGTTGTTCCACATCGTCCTCACCTGCCCCCAGCAAAGGAATCAAAGCAGAAGAGGAAGACTGGAAGCAGAAGTGTGTGGGAAGAAACTGAAAAACATCCTACATCTGGCATATCCCAAAATTTCCCTGGAAATCTGCTTAGAACCTGCAATGGAGTGTGTAGAAACTTACAGCACCCTTACACATGCCTAGAAAACTGGGATTCTTGGAATAAATCCATCCAGACTGCAATTTAATGAAGTTTATTAGATTAACTGGGGGGTGGGGAGGGAAGAAAAGTGAGAAAGAGAAAATAAAAACCATGTAGCAGCATTTTCAATACAAACACAAAGGGCTCTTTTATGTGGGATTGACAAGACTGTGCTATGGTTTATGGTAGAGTTTTTCTGCACACCACCATCATATCTGAAGGAAGCCTAAAAGAAAGATGGAGAGACTATTTACAAAGGCATGTAATGACAGGATGAGGAGGAATTTCTACAAACTGAAAGAGAGTAGCTGTAGATCAGATATTTGGAAGAAAATCTTCACTCTGAGGGTGGTGGCACCGGCACAGGCTACCCAGAGTTGACAAGCCTTAGCTAAGGTTTGCTGATATTTAATTTAAATTCTTTTTAAATTTCAATATATGTGCTGTTCTAAGTATTCTGATAATTGTCTTCATCCTCATGAGACCTGATTTTCTTACCTCCAGATTTCACCAATTTAGAGTTTTCTGACATTGTTGTCAAAGTGCCCAGGAAAAAAGTTTTATCTGTTATCTGCTGCTCTAGTCTTATAAATATAACATTCTGCACAACACTGTGTTTACAATGTTAATATTATAAAATATGTATTTATATACAGAACAAGCTGTTCTGGTATGGTAATTTAAAATAATAGTGCCTATTTATGAATCTTTTAATAAATAATAGAAAAATAAATTAATTGATATGCTGTTTATAATTGAATCATGCAAGGGATATGTCTACCAAAAGTTGCAAACTTCAGTATAGCTATTCACAAAAACAAAAAAAGAAATTCATCCCTCAGTAAGTTTTAATCAAAAAAAAAAAAATCTGAATTATGCCCTTTGCAGATCAGGAAGACAAATAATGTTGACTGGAAGGTGGCTGGTTCCAATCCTAGCTGGAACAGACATTCAAATTAGTCACTCTCTTTTCCTTGCAAAATGAGTATTCTAAAAAATGATGAGATTCACCAACTCCATTCAGTAATCTAAACCTTAACTGAGCTCAAGAAGATGTTAATTAATAAAAAAAAAAATTAAACAAGCTTAATATTTTTGGAAACTCAATCTGGATTTGAGTCATCGATTAGACTTGGCAGTACACTGGGTGTTGACCTAAAGAGACATTAATTATTTTTATACTTCTCTACTTCTGTGTTGCTAAATATGGGCTACAATGAGATCTGTCTATCTTCTTTGATCTAGGGAGAATGTGCTATACCTTTATGTCAGAAATGAGCAATAGTACCTAACTAAGACCCACACTTGTGGTGAACAGTACAATTATCAGTGTACATTGAGGTCTTGCCTAAATATCATCATTTGATCACATATCATGTATATTACCTGATATAATTCACACAGTATGGACTGAAAAGTGAACAGCTTGCATTAGACGCCAGTTTTTTCTGTCTTTATCTCAGGAAAATGATCCTACCTTCACTAGGGAGATACGTGAAAAACATCAGAAAACATCATCTTATGAAGGCATATTTACTAGTTCAGCAGAGCAAATGGTCCTAAAAGACTCACAGCGGTATTGTGAAACTTTCACAACCATATTCTATTCTCCTGGGCTGAAATTCTACCAGTAAAAAGAATAAAATAATCTGTGTTCTGGGAGGGTTATATTGCTTAGATATGTAAATTGAGAAGTTGCCCTTTTTATGCTCCCTACCTAGTCTGTGGAAAAAGAGAGGCTCTGTCAGAGAGAATGTTTAAATCCTTAATATTCAAACATTATTTAAGTAAGCTCTCTCTCTCTCTTTTTTTTTTTTTTTTTTTTTTCC